AGGGGAGTTTGCTGATGAGAGTGAGTGAGTTCCAGAAAGCACCACGGGAGGGCTTAGGAGGGTTGGGAAAGACAGAAGATGAGTTCAGACAAGAGGAGGTACCACATGCTGGTTGAAGCTAGACCTGGGAGGCTTGGGCTAGAGTTAATCCCGGACTCTCTTAGAAGAAGGTGGGTTTCCACTTATAATTATAGTGCAGATGTGTTTTCTTGGAAGCCATGGAGTTTCTCAGAGTCCAGGTGGCATGATCACTAGGCTGCTGTGGTTCTGCCCTTGAGCATCACTGAACGCACCTTTTCACCAGAGATCCTGCTTCAGTTGGCCTGGGCATTAGTATTTTTGAAATGTTCCCAAGGTGATGTGAACGTACATGCAGGCATGAGAACCAATGGAAGAAACTCCTTCCAGCCCCTTGCTACTCCAAGTGTGATTCAGGGACCAGCGGGCAGTGGCACGCTGGGGTCCATTGCAGGGAGCATAGCCCAGGAGGTGGGCTCTCCTCTAGAGCAGTCTGACTCACCTAAGCCAGAGGTGATGGGAAGTCGGCCCCACTTGCTGTGCTCCCAAGACATTCCTTCACTGTAGGGATTACCATCCAGATACAAGACAATTAATTTTAAAGACTTACCCCCAAGTAAGCTTTCTCTTCTCCCCCAGGGGTGCCATGTGACAAGCACTTTCAGCTAGGTGAGTACAGAAGTCAGCTGTTTTCCACATCCAAGCTGGGCAACAGCTGGCCCACATTAGAGGGGTCGGTCAGTATGCTCCGCTGCATGATTACAGCCAGCTTGGGCTGGCAGCTCAGCATCCCAAGAGAGCTTTTCCCCATGAGCTGATATAAACAGGCTGACCCAGCAAGGCCCATAGAAATAGCCAGATCTTGACACGCTCAAGAAAGAAAATATAATGTTGAAGCTAAAGAAAAGTTATAGAAGAAAGATATTATAGGAGGAGGCAGACAAAGAGGTAGCCAAGAGAAAAAGGGTTAATAAGTTGACTAAGAACTGCATTTTCCTGGCCCACTAAGTCTTTCTGGAAAGAGTCCATGCTTGCTGATGGAAACATATTAGGAAGATGAGCTCATGCTAAACACAGTTCCTCTCAGGGGAGGCTGGAAAAAACAAGAGATTTGAGACACTTTCTTGAAAATAAATCAACAGCTTTGAAGGTGATGTGGAGGAGAATTGCAGATGACAGGGAAGTCTGCAGGTCAGGGATCAAACTGGGTTGTGTATGAACAGAACTTTCCAGAGATGTTAATCTGAGCAAGAGAATAGACTAATTAAAAAAAAAATCCAGCAGTGTTATGATTATTGTCTGCATCTCTGATTCTAGATCAAATCCAGCTCCTGTAACACTGCTTCTGAGAAATGGAACAACAGAACAGCAGAAGACATATGGGCTGGTTAGACAGGAATGCCTGTGCTCTTTCTGTGGCTCCTCATTTACTGGACTATGCATAAGGCCAGGCTGGGCTACGAGGATCGATTTCTCGTAGAGATGTAGAATGGACTCTAGCAATGGCGATGTTCCAAAACGTTGACTGATTTGACCGTGTCTCTCCTCAACTCACTAATCATCAGTGGTCTCCAATAACCTACTAAATAAAGTCCAGATTTCGTAGTTTGGAATTCAATGACCTGCACAAAATCATGAGAGGCAATAGAGCAGAGTGGCCTTTGGTGTCTGTCCCAGCTGAGTTTGAAACTCTGCTGACCACAGGTAAATAACTGAACCTTTCTGAACCCATTTGGACAATAAGGGCTCCTTTCTTGTCAAGCTGATGGTAAATGAGAGATTGGATGGAATGCACTTAGCACAGTATCTAGAATACAGTATCTGGAACATCTAGGTCAATCCATGACATTATTATTGTTGTTGATGATAATAATAATAGGGCTCCTCCAGCCTGCCTTTCTCTCTCTCCCAATGGTTTGCCCACACCATTTCTGCCCCCCAAAATATGTCCTATTCCATCCGCATATGGTGTTTCCAGCCTCCATACTCTTGCTCACACTGTTCCTATTAAATTCTTCCTGTCCACACTTTACCCTGCCTTCCAGGCTTGACTCCAGGGTTCCCTATGTCATGCAGCCTTTGAGGGCAGGATCCATGTCAGATTGACTTCGGTTTTTTGAGTATGAATGAGAATCCTTGAATATAGTAGGTGCTCAAAAAAAATGGGATGAATAAATGAATGAATGAAAGAAAGCTTATGACAGAGTCCACCTGAAAGGCATTGTTGGGAACTGATTAGGGGAATAGATTGGGGAGGGTCATGGGTTCTGTGAGCTCTGCGATCTAATTTCTCTGCTGCCAGTGGACCTGAAGGAAAGGCAAACTCTCCTTGGGTTTCTTGTGTGTGATAAGGGAGGCCAACACATTTTTCTACAGCTGTGATGCCAAATGAGGTCTATAAAGTGCTTTTCTATGTGCCAACCCTTAGTGATAGCCTCTTGAAGGCTAATGTTCTTCTCCTCCTCTCACATCTCTGAACAAAAGAGGACAGATGAACTCCCCCTGGAGCCTGGGCCTTCTGAACTCTCAGTTGGCAGCTCTCCAGCCTTGCAAATCTGATCAAAGTTCTAGTTGTCTCATAGCTCCCAGCTGGGGCACACACAAGCCAGCAGGTCCCTATATGGCACCTTTGAATGAATGGGGTGGATAAACAAGCCCCCTTTCCCCTGCACAGGGTGTGTGGCTTGGCATGGTGGGTGTGGATTGGAAAGCAGCCCCCACTTCTAGCCCCTCCGCTGGAAGCCCTTGCATGGTGGGTGCACGCGTGCGTGCGCGCACACACACTAGTTCTCTTATGAAGAGATCATATGACTGGGGTGCTCTTTGGGGGATTACACATTCTAGGGGCTCAGCACAGGTTTTGCAACCAAATATGTAAAAAGATGAAGCTAAGCACAGTTTCTCTTCTTCAGTCTTTCTCGAACTAGAGAGCACTGGCACAGCCCAGGACATATGTACCCGAGACCACAACTAGCCCAGCCAAATGGCTCAGCACACATGTCATTTGAAGACATTCTGTTTCCAGACTCTTTCTCTATGAGATAGAGTTTTGTTATGGTTGCTCTTCTTGGGGGCATGGAGGCCCAGGAGGATTTGGGTGCACACAATTCGTACCCATTTTTGCCATCAAGCTCTCTGCCTGCTGTGATCGGGCATTGCTCTTTCTTGGATGGACAATCCTGTTACTGCACAAGAAGGCTTTCTAAGTGCATTATGGTCAATGATAGATATTCACAAGAGAATGTGTAAGACCACAAGTTATCTGAGAAAATACAGGAAATTGGGGGGTGAATTTCAGTGCACCTCGAACATTTTTTGAGCCACAGGGAGGTTGGGTGAATGTCTGAAGGATAGAGGTGCTAGCCTGGTCAATGATACTGAAGCCAAGCAAAAAGAAAGTCTGACCTTAAACATTTCAACTCTAAGGCCCAAACAAGTACCTACTTTCCATTAGGATCAGTTTTATACTTCTGTACATTTGCTTTGGCTAAATTTTCACTCACAGTTGGTGAGCCCTCTCTTTAATAAATCCCTACAAACAGTTTTCAAAAGTGGTTCAGTTACCAAAGTCCTTTTGTTCCATAAGATATGCATTAACAACGTCACCTATGCACCCACTGAATGATCCCTTTCTTTTGATATACCTCATAATTAGGGTGCGGGCTAAGAGAAGCCATAATCAACTAAGGAAAAACTAGAATTCAGATGGTGTATACTCTATTCCTTTGGGGCTCATTATTTCCGTGAAAGCCCTGCTGTTTTCATGTTATACTGGCTGTGTGGGACAGCGTTAATTCTACATTTCTGTAACACACGTCCAATTCATGTCTCCCCCTACACAACCACTTACTGTTTTGGATTGGAGGACCAGTCTGGTCGTCAGACCCAATCCTCACAATATATTTGATAACCTACGAACTGTGGGTCCCCCTCCCAAAAAAGATAGCAGCCAGCCTTCTGCCCAGAAAAGAATCTTTCTTTGGGCATCGAGAACTCCAAGGCTGCGCTGAGGAAATGGACATGTGTGGGTGTGTGCCTGCTCAACCGCTATCTAGTGAGTGTGATCTCAGTTGCTGGGCCCCCTCCAGCCACCTTCTGCAGCAGCAAAGAAAAAGGGGAGCTTTCCCATCCAGCAGGGTGTTAAACGTGGGCACCCTCAAACGCTGACGCCGAGATGTGCCCACTCCTTCCCCCACCCCTGGCACTTCCTGCTCATTGGGCCGGTGGTATGAAACATTTAGGGAGAGAGGAGGACAGAGAGCTCTGGAAACACCACCTTCGGCTCTTTAGGGAGGAAACAAACCACATACATCTGAAGGTGATTAATTGTCTTTATTGGAGGAAAACAAGAAGTCATCAATCTCGTTATCATTATGATAGAAATCCTGATATGTGTACATGATTGTCAAGGCAGAGAATCATTTGCTACATGGGCCCATTAACAATTTTGCAGTGCCGCAAACCTAGGTGGGTTCAACTTCTTGCAGAGTTGACTACATGCATGGAGTAAATGCACAGTTTCCCTTCTTTTGGACAAGCATGTTTTTATGGAAAAATTGAACCAATCACAAGCCTGGTAATAAGAGACACGGGGACGTTCCCGGGTTTGACGTCGTAGCTTCTGGAAAACACGCTCACTGTTGGGGGTGCTGCAAGAAGGGCAATAACGTTACCCGTAGTGACTAGACCCAATTTAGAAACTGTTCCAAATTTTATTCTGGACAGGCCTTTTATGTCTTCCAACCTGAAGATGGGATTAAGACAAATGATCTCTGAAACACGCCACCTCATCTTTCAAAACAGAGACACTGTTGCGGCTCTCCTGTCGCCATTTGGACACGTCTGATGCCACTCTGAAGGCCAGTGTCCCTGGGAAGGACACTGTACAGTGTACAGGACAGTCATCTAAGCAGAGGCTCCTCTTCCTGCTTTCTCTCTCCCGAAAGCTTGGCTGCCAGCCCTGCCCCAGCACCCCTGCTCCCCGAAGTGCAGGGCTACCAGGAGGACCTGGGAATCTCAGTCTGTCCAGATTAAGGTTTTCCTTTGAGAAATAATTTATCTAGTGTTTGGGGCTTTCGAGTCCCTCATGATGTTTTATCTTTATGACTAAAGCCTCAAACACTCTTCTCATTTTCTTTTTTCCTGTCCACAAGAAAATAAAATCACCTCTAAGTAAAATAATCCGGTAAATGATCAGAAGACATAATCATCTTATGAGAAGTTCCCCGGAGACCAAAAGGTTTAAAATGGATATGGCGAATGCAGAAGCGGCATTAGTACAGAGGGTGAATGCAACGGTTTGTCCCTTTGGTGTAGAAAGATACAGACACCGAGAAGCCATTCCACACTTTGCTTTGTCCGCAAAACCAGACCTGGCAGCCACATGCTGCGGGTTTGGCTGCCAAATGCACAGCCTTTGTGTTTGCAGAAGCGGAGTCCCCCAGAGGCACAAGCCAAGCTGCTCCTGCTGCCGGTGGCAGGGAAGGCCGGGAAGGGCTGATGTGCCTTCCCATCTGATTGGGCGCAGAGCAGGAGGCAGGCCAGGCCTTGGCCAGCATGCAGGGCCGACTTCACAGTGGGGCTGGGCTCCTGCGCCCACGCCCGGGCTGCAGGTTGGGATGCACTGGGACCACAATGAAGCTTCGGGCTGAATGGGGCATGGGCCTCTGTCTTCCTCTTTCCCCTCCCAGCCTGCTGTCCACAGCAGAGGTTTTCCAGCTAACTCATCTGCAGACTAGTTTTCTTGGCGTCTTCGGGAAATAAGCTCCCTTTGGGGAATCTGCCCAATTCACCTTTTCTATCTCAACATTTTCAGCTCTGAAAATCAGAGGATTGGAACGCATTTTTGCAAATGTCAGGTACATTTGCAGCCCCAACCTTGGACCAGGTGCCCCCCAAAAGAGTGGTGGGTTACATACAGGTATGTACAGTATTTTTTTTAAGAAACAAACTGAACAGTGTTTGGTCTGGAATGTGTTTAAGGACAAGGCAAACTTTGCAGAGTGTGAGAAGATAGAAAGCGGAAGTAGTATTGTTTCAGAAGAACATGCAAAAGTTTCGTGCATTGGTTGAATCAGAGACCTTCATTTCATTTGCCAGAAGTGACTGTGTGACCCTGGGAAAGAGTACGTCTTATTTCTGTTTGTGGAAGCGGGAGGAGCTGCCCTTTGCTGGCCCTCACTTTCCTTTCACGTATCCAAAGGAAACCCAGCAGTGCTCTGTGGAAATTGCACAAAGTAGGGAGTGCTGCTGGCAAGCACAGAGGCAATAACCCTAGCTCTCCTGTCTTCAGCCCTGGAACGATGGTTCCAGAGTGGCTTCTCCAGTGTGAAGGATCCATACCAGCCAAGGCTCTGGGTGGGCCACAGGGCCGTGCCGGCCAATGCCTTAAAATACTGGCCAGCTGCCTGTGTTCTGGCTGCTCTTATACATACCCGCACTGGCATCCTAAGAGAGGCAGGAGGGAGCTGCTGAACCTAGTAACACTGTGTGTGTGTGTGTGTGTGTGTGTGTGTGTGTGTGTGTGTGTTAGGGGCTATCACTAAACATTTAGCCTGGACATAGGCAAAGGTGACAAAGATGGCTTGACCCACAGACCTGCCGAGTCTGGCCAACTGTAGAAGGGCATGAGGACAACAGCCAGGAAAGTTGTTGTACCATCAGGCAGACCTACAGGGACACCCGGTGGGCTTGAGGCTGACTGTGCGGAATGCAGACTCGCAGCACTACGTGGGCAGCAGGGCCGAGGGCGGGCTTTTGCAAAGCTGGCATTTGGAGCCACCTGCTTGCCTCTCCAAGGCAGCATCCTTGAAGCCTCCTTGAAAAGTGGTTTGCCCTGGGTTACACACTGTGCTCACTCTAGCCCACACACCTATCCACCACGTGGGGAAAGGACGTGGCCCGGTTTGCCCGGGACGTTGCCAGTTTTAGCACTGAAAGTCCTACATCCCGGGAAATCCTTCAGACCTGGGCAAACTGGGATTTTTGGTGACCCCACCATGATAGGTCTTTGGTTTCAGATTTCCCTGGTCAGAGGGACGTCTTCCAGCACTGGCTGGGCCTGGTTGAGGTACTCTCTGGCCATCACTGCAGTGGCCAGTATCCTGCTTGCTTGGCAGGTCACCTCTCCTCACCACCCTAGATAAATGGATTCTTTTCCAAGGCCGTTTCTTTCTCTTCCCCCGATAACATCAGAAGAACAGGGTAAAAATTTGCAGAAACAACTTATGTGAGCCAGAGGCCATTTGAAGTATAAGATTAGAAATGCGTTTTTAAAAAAGAGAGAGAGAGATTCATTTTAAAACTGCATAGCTGAGAGCAGAGCTTTTGTGTGGGACCCCTCATGAGAAACGAGAGCTGGGTGGGAAGTTCACTTGAAACTAAATGACATCTTGTTCCTTCTTGTTCCTTGTTCCTTAAAGGGGGCTCTTAAATCTTTGCTGGGTGGGCATCTTCTTCAGAGCAAGTCCAGCCTCTGAAGTTTAGTCTTTAGTCTCGGGGGAGCAGGCTTCTTAATTTCTGACCGCTGAGGACAAGAGGTCCCTAGGGTCTCCGGTTGGCGAGGGGTTTGCTGGAGAAGCTGCCAGGAGAGGTTGTCTGCAGGTTCCCTCCCAAAACTGCTCCGGAGAGAAGACAGGCCTGCAGAACCACTAAGCTGTCTTCTTAGAGAGCTGCCCCTCCAAGGAAAGGGAGAGAAAGAGACGGAACAGAAGTAAAGTGCACTCTTCGCCTTGGAGACAGCTTCTCGATCCTCTTGTTAGAATTTTTTAAAATACCTTTAAATTCCCCTTGGACGGAAAAAAAAATCTCTCAAAGGTTAACATAAAACTCTACTATCGACAAGCAAAAGATACAGGTCATGTAACTAAGAAGTATATATCGAAAGGACATATTTCTTAAAAGGAAAAAAATAAAGCCCTAATGCACAAAATATTTACCAATACTTAAATAATCCAGTTGAAACCTCTTTTTGTCATTAATGAAAAAATACAACATAGACGGTTGCCTATACTGAGAAGAGCCGAAAAGACAGGAGTTGGGGAGAGGACAAAGAAGGTTCTGATAGAGCATTGCAAGATTCGTATATACAGCACCAGATCCTGTTAAATCAGTTCCCTGGAGTCAGTACAGTTTGTGAGAAATGAACACTTCAGAATTGCAGTATAAAATATGGCCATAAAAAAACTTCTGTCTTCCAGTCCTGTGCAGGAAGGCGCACCATGCAAGGTGGGATCACTCTGGAGTGGCTGGTGGCACTGGTGGCCCCCGGGGGCCCCATTCCCTGGCCATGCCCCCCGGGCCCCACCTCCAGAGCCAGTCACTTGCTTCCAGAGTGTACTGTCGTCACAGTGGTGGGCCTCGGTCTCCGCTCCGTTCCCACTCCTGGGACCCCCGATGAAGAGGAAATGAAACTACAGAGCGTGGAGGGGGCCAGACCTGCAGGGGGACAGTGGACACAAGGGGTTCAAAACTTCAGAAGGAAATACTCACCCCCCCTTCCCGCCGCAAGGGTTTGTGGGGGCCAAACTTCTATGCACTTGACTCTAAATTTTCACCTACCTATAGGAAAACATTTGCAATGTGTCCAAAATGCTTTCTTAGACTCAACTCTCCCCTCCTTTTTCATTATAACTGCTTTGCATTTGAATATGACATGGTTTAGCCTTCATAATAGGATAGATTCCATTTACTGAGCACTTACTATGGACTAGGCATCGGGCTAGGTGTTGAATACATACCGTCATTATAAGAACTGTTTATTTCTTACATAGCTCCGCGAAGCAGGGATTTTAAGAATGAAAAAAGAATGTGATGCCCCCTTCTGATCCTGCCTGCTGTGCTGTCTGTACTCTTGGCTAAGAAGCATTTGTGACACAGAGCACTGAAACTGGGCTGTCCCCCTATTCCTGTGTGAGCTCAGCAGTCCCCTGGCCTAGAAAAACTCACACGCTGCACTACAATGCTCCCCAGTGGATGTGTTGGTACCAGAAGGTCCTGATGTGGGATGAATCCTGTTTCTTAGTTCCAGTAGTGTATCTCCCACCATGAACTTGTAGGCTCAGACATAAGGAGATCCATAAAATAAATTACTAAGATGGTTTTGCTGTCAGAGCCACTGTATGAATCTTCAAAGAAATGACCGATTGTGGGGTTCCCTTTGACCAGAGGGTGGAAAGGATCTACGCTGACATGTAAACGTGGGTCTACAGTAGTCTGCGATTGGGTCAGGGAGATTTCTTGGGAAAATTTAAGGGCTGGACATTCCCGAATGAGATGGGAGGACTATTTAGAGAGGAAGGGAACCCTTTTCTGAGGGAAATGGGAAGAAATGTGATGCCCAGAGCGAGACCAAGCCGAAGGGTGCTCAACGATTAGGGAGATGAGGGCCGATGGGGACCATCAAGGCAGCTTGTCTGAAGTGAGAGGAGCCAGTGGAATGGCCTAATAAGAGATTAAGTTAAATATACAGAGGGGGCATGGGAGAGAGAAACAAGGAGAGTGTAAGTCTGCCCTCAGTGATGTAATATTCCATGTGAAGAGGAAGGATAATGAAATATTATTACTATTACTCTGACTGCAAAGCCAATGCACTTAACATAAATCAGCTCCAATTATCATCATCCTCATCAAAAAATATCAATTAAAAGTAAGTGAGATGAGGCTGTCCTGAATCTCTGCCCTCCTTTCCTCAGCCCCCCAGAGTCACTGAACAAGAAGAAGCAAATCACAGGGGGAGGAGATTGATCAGAACGTGTCTGGGCTTTGTCCAGACAGACAGACATAGAAGAGACAGACATTTCCTCTATAAATGGAAACAATAATACCTAAGGTTGTGTATTCACATTTAATTTTTTTAAAAATTAAATAATGTCCTCGGGTTGTTGGGAGTATTACATGAGATGAAGTTTTGAAAGTGCCTGAGAACCAGCAGATACTCAGCAAACAGTCCCCTCCTCTCCATCCCAGATTTGTCTTAAATGCCCGTGGACAAGCGCTGGTTTTGCTACATACGCACAATCTTTTTGGCTGGCCAAACTGAGGCTGCTCGAAACACCTGCATTTGAACTGTCCAGGCTGCTGCCGAGATGCAGTTTCCTCATATGTCTCACCACGGCTGTGGCATTAAATGCTTGCTGAAATGTAAGAAAGGAAAAAAGCAGACAAAATATTCCAGTGAATGAGAAAAGACTCAGACTGTCTCCCATTGTTCCTCCTGTTCCCCTAAGCATTTCAAACATCTTAAAATGTTCTCATGATACTCTAGAGAAGAAACTTATATTGCCTCTTCTTCCCAAAGTATGCAAATTTATTTGACCCCTCCCCCCATCAAAATATATTCTGGAGATTAAAAAAAATATTTTTCTTCTGACATAATAAACAGAATAAATGTAAACCAATTCTCTCCACAATTCAAGAGAAGGGATATTATAATAATATAATATCTTAAAATAGGATGTTTTAAAATAGTTTTTATTTTCTTATTATTGGTGCTTTTGTCCTAAATAATAGCATTTCCTCTGAATAAAGTAGGTCAGTGGAATTAATTTTGTTTCTTTATAGTCCCTCATGGCAAAACAGCCAGCTCTTAATCACTCATGCTGTTGGGAACACAGGGTTTAGGTCACCAGTCGACGATCACGAAACCTCAATGGTTTAAATCCATCACATTTTTACCAGAAAATTTTGATGAGTTCCTGTTTTTTGCCTTTCATATCACTTTAATAAAAGTTGACTATTGAAAGTTCCAGCAAAGTAAAGGAAGACAACAGGGATTATGTTCTTAAGAAATAGCACATGAGTAAGAGCTGGTGCTATTGCTATTTTTGAATCACAGAGGAGAAATGTTGAATCACATACTTGATTCTTCCACACCATGATATTCCCTTCAAGTCTTCATCGTTATCGGTTAAAATTAGCAAAATTATTTGGGTGAGGTTCTGGGGATTTTCATCCAATTGGGTGACAGTAACTTTTAGAAATCAGAAATGGTCAAACTGTAGGGCAAGTTTCATGTGAGTAGTTAAGCTTACTGGGAATTTAACAAACAGAAGACTTACTCTCCATTTGCTTTTTGCGAAGTTCTTCCGGATCTGGGCGCTGACGGACTCGTGGATGTTTTTGTTGAGGGCTGTGTCACCGGCGATCCTGAAAGCAAGGCAAAGATGCTTCTTCAAAAGAGTTTTTTGGGGGGCTCTGGCACTGGGCCCCAAGCTGCTTTCCCAGGGAAGTCTTATCTTACCCCTTTCCTAAGGTTCCCTGAGAGGCGAGATTCCCACTGCCCTTCCAGGCTGCTTGTTTCACCCTATGGCTCTTGTCTGAACGCACACAGTCCACCACCACCGCAAACCAAGTTTGGTCCTACTTCTATACTCTGCATCCTCTCCAGGATGGGTCGGCACCTTCCCAGGTTGACCTCTCTGCCTGGCTCCTACTTCTTCCCTTTTTGATCCCAATTCCTTCTGACATCAGAATCCACGATGACAACACAGCCTGAATTCAGTTTCCCTTCCTTCTCCCTCCCTCTCCCTCTACACCAGCTCTCATCCTGCAGTGTTTCACCTCCGAGGTCTCAAACGTGTTCCCTGTCTGTTCTGACCGCCAGATCCCTATCCAGGGCCGTCTTCCCAGTTTCCTCCTACCCAAGGCCCCTTCTCTCTGCTCTTCCCATGACCTCTGCTCCATGCACTTGCTCACATTCCTGGGCCCCCAGCTCCCTTCTGGCTCCATCCCAGAGGAACTGAGCCCTGCCACATTCTACTCACCAACAACCACACCAGGCGCCCCTCATCTTCTCTGTGCTCAGGGAGAGGTTCCCAGCCTTAGCTCAGCCCTGCTTGGCATATCGTCTACTCCTGCATTTCCTAGAAAAGTTCTCAGAACTGCCAGGACCACGTCCACTCTACATTGAACTGGTTCCTTGATATTACTGGGCATTAGTTCTTCCTCGTTTCTGAGTCTTCTGTGAGCAGGGAAGAAGGTAGGTTTGTTCTTTACCTCCTGCTTAGAGTCCCCCTCATTCTATTACTTCCTCCCTCTGCTATACCACCTCCCTCTTCTCTCTCTTGGCTTACAATCTTGGGTCTTATTGATCCCCCGGAGGTCGCTCACAGCTCATTCTCCCACACATCCCATCTCACCCTCAACACCATCCTCCCTCTACGTTCAACCACTTGGCCTTCCCCCCAGTTTCAGAGGAAGCTGTGCTTTGCTCTCAATCTTTTCTGGGCTTGGATCCTTCCATCTTGCCTTTCCTTTAGCACCAAACTATTAACTTCTAAGTTGGTATCTGATGCCTAAGAAATAATTTCTTGAATCCTGGAAAAGTTAAGGGGCAGATAGATGCCAGGGACACTGATCATCCTTCCTGGCTGGAAGGTGACCGGTAAGTGGGGAAACCTGTCATGTCCCAGACCCAGATGGCCCCAGATCCAAAAGAGCCTGGATGCCACAGACTATTACATCCAACTGTTTTGGGAAACGAAAGGAACAACCTTAGGGCTTATCCAGACAAGAAATCATCCCTGAATAAAAAATGTTCCCACCTGCCCAGGCTTTCACTTTAGAATTGAAAACATAGATGACGGACGGGACATTAAGTCTGTGCCAGGCTGGGCCTAAGTTTAGCATACAGTCTGATATTCCCAGCTAAAAGCCACCCCCCCCTTAATAGACTTCTCTTTTTCCCAGCAGCTGAAAATACTTAGCCAAGAGGACACTCACAAATGAACCAAAGTGAACCAGGTTTCCATTTCCAACAACTGTCAATCGCCCCCTTTCCCCAGACACACAGCGACAAATAGAAATAGGATATCTGAGTGAGCAAATCCATCCGAAACAAGAGTAGCGAGGAGGGAGGGGACTGTAGACATCTTTATGAGGCTTTTTCTCCCTGACAGCTAATGTGTTTCCTCCTGCACCTGTTTTTTAAAAAGCTACATCCTCAGAAAAGGATGCCAATTCCAACTTGTCAGTGGCCAGCTCTTTCTTGGAAACGAGAGGGCAGAAGTGGTAGGAAGTATGGAATTCCTTGGGCTGAGCACTGCCACAGGGCAGAGCCAGGCTCCAAACCAAACAGACCAGTGAGGGGGTCAAGGAGACTCCCTTCTCTGTGGGTTAGCATGGGCCGAGATGTAAGGAAAATGCAAACTTGCAATCACTTTAGGAATGTTCCGTGCTCACTTCCCACAGTCCTGGAGTATGCTGCAGCTGGGTAAGGATCCAGCAGGGTGGACAGGGGCCCAGAGGCTCCCGTTAGGCAGTCTTCTTGGGAGGTGCAGCCATCATGGGCCACCATAGCACATGCTCTTCATCAAATGGGCACTGCAATGGAAATGGCAGCTGCTGCTCCTGATGAGTCAGCAGATTTACAATGACAGCGTATGAAGCTCACGATGCTCACTGCTATTAGCGTCATCATTATTCATCAACAAAACTGGAGGCACAGAATCTTAGAATTGGAAGGGATCATGGTTGTCACCTCTATTGTCCTAGGAATTGAACGCCTCTGATACAGAAGAATTTCCTTAAAAATCTGTACACACACACACACGGAAAGCTATGGGCACCCACATTTCATTCAGGTCTCTTATTCTCCCTCGTTTTCTAGTTTTAGCCCCTATACTAACACTGTAGATGGGATTTATATAAATCGTGCTTTGTGAGGCCTGTCTTGTTATCCCCTCTCCACACACAGATCATCACACTCATCCTTCCTTGCCTTTTGGTGTTTTTGTGTTTTGTACATGGTCTGCTCTACCTCCATGGCTGTGATTTTGTGTTTTTCCAGACACTTGCTCAAGACAGGCTTGGTGATGCCTGTGTGTATCCCAGACTTCTGGGCTGCTGCCCCATTCCTAGGGGCAACCACAGCTCTGCTGGCTTGAGCCCAGAAGAGGGGAGGGGTCTCCATGAACACTGAGGAGAGGGCTGCAGATGCTGCCCTGGCTTGACCATCGCACGATGTCCCCCCAGGTAGGCACAGTGCGTTGCCATGGAAACGGCATCTGGCTAAGTATCACCTGGGGTGCTGATACCCAGGACTGTCACTTTGATTTGCTGGTCAATGAAACTGGAGATAGAGGTTCAGAACAATCCGAACCAGATAAATGAACCCCATCAAGGTGCTTCCCTGAAACTAGAAATGGATTCCTATCCTGCCACTTGTCATTCCTACTCTTTGGCCACCAGCCAGCATCCTGTTGGTTCCCTACCATGCACCACCAAGAGAAAGGCAAAGCCTCCAGTGATCAGGCCTTGGGAAACACCTGGTAAGATGGGCTGGCTGCCCTCTATGAGGACAACTTTGAAAAGAGCCCTCTTTGGTCTGGAATGGTCTGTTTTGAGGCTAATGGAAGGTGTCTGTGACTTCCAGACGCCTCTCCTGGCCCTAGGTGGCCTTGATTAAGCCGGAAGAGCAGGTGTAGAATAAGAGATGATGCCCTCTGGATATCATCAATGTGCCGAGACCACAGATTCCAGAATGGGGATGTTAATAAAGCTAGGCTTCGCTTGAATAATCACTCCACTTTCTGCCAGCTCTCAACTGAATCCACGTTCTCTTTTGCCCGGGCAGTTTTACATCAAAGAAACAAGTATATCATAAATGCAGGCAAGTGGGGTGTTTCAGTGATGCTTGAGTCAAATGCATTGGTTCTTATCAATTTCCAATGTTTGACTTCTTGGGAATTTTGAAATTCACAGTGAAAATTATAAAGCATTGGGAAAAAACCACCTCTGAAGTAAGAAGGCATTTATCCATGTAGCTCACATGCTAATATGTCTTAATGTGACCCAAGCTGACGATTCCGAAGTCTTCACCTCTTTCCTCAGCTCCAGACTCATTCAGCAAAGCGCCCACCACAGATCTCCACCTAGATGACTCCTGCACCTTCCTCATTCTCTTTCACTCAAGCCTGCTTGTTCTCCCAGCACAATCATCCTCCCAGTCCCTTAAACTGGAAACTTGGGGATAACCTCAGACCCCTCTCTTTGCCTCACTCCACCCACCAGTGGTCTGCCCAGGAGCTGTAGCTTCCCCGCCCCTGGAGTGTCTTTCGTGGTCTTCTCCATCCTCTCCATCCCTGTTGCATTGGGCAGGCCACGTCCACCCTTCTCTGGGCCAGCCTCCTCTCTGTCTCTAGTCTGCCTTCCTGCCACCCTCCCATGCCCATCTCCCACAACTCATCCTCTATTCTGCAGCCAGGCTGAATTTTCTAAAATACAAATCTGATCAACCTGCTTCAAATCTCTCAGGGGCCCCCACTGCCCAATGGGAAAAGAACAAATTCCTTGGTACAATATTAAAAAAACAGTATAGGTACCGCTGTTATTTATGATCCCAGTTCTACAGGGGATGCCCACAGGCTGAGGAGCTTGCCCACATGGTAATAAATGGTGAAGCCAGGACTTGAACTCAAGCAGTCTGCACCAGAGCTCACGCCAGACCTCTGCTAGTTCTGCCTTCCTTTCTAGTCTCAACTCCTACCTTGCTCCTTTGCCCAGTCTTACTCCAGAAATACCAAATACTGGGGTACCGAGGATGGATGTGCAGTTTAAGCCTCCATGCATGGCCCAGGTCATTCGCTCTACCTGGAATCCCCTCCCCACCCTGGATGGTTTGGGAAAAGCCTTCTCTTGGTGCCAGGCTCAGCATCTCCGTGAAGTCCTTCTTCATTCTCCTAAGCCCACCCTGCCCCCTCTGTAGGGCCCCTCAGTAAACCTGACCTCACTCTTCTTTAGTTTTTCAAAAATATCTGGTGAAGGAGATATTAGGTTTTCATTGGCCTCCTTCCCGCCTTCCACAGAGCAAGGCTGGATTAGTGCACAAGAACTAGGAAGCAAATCACTTCCTCTCTTTTGAGGTCATCTTCCTCCTCTATGAGATAATCCCCAAAGTCTCATACATACTAGATAAACAGGCCCTGGGGATGTGATGTACAACCTGACGACTATGGCTAACACTGCTGTATGGTGTATCTGAAAATTGCTAAGAGAGTAGATCCTAAAAGTTCTCATCACAAGGAAAAAAACGTTTTTTTGGTAACTACATAAAGGTGATGGATGTTAACTAAACTTTGTAGTAATCATTTCACAATATATACCTGTATCAAGTCATTCTGCTGTGTACTGATACAGTCTTATAAGTCAATTATATCAAAATATATAAATAAATATACAAATTTGTTTCTACATATTTATATATTCTATTACATATTTCTATAAAATATATTTTATATATATATTATATATGTTTTATAAAATATATAAAACTAGGAAAAAAGTCTCATACAGCTTTAAGGGCCTATTGTTTATGCAGTAAGAAAACCTCTACTATCTTCATTGTCACATACTTTGACCTACGGCCCAAAATGACTTACTAAAAAATATCAAGATGATATACAATCAAAACTGCCTCCTTATTCAGAAACTTTCTTCCTCTTTTCCTTCTTTTGGCATTGCGGTTAAGAGCATTCATTTTGGAATCTGACAGTTCTGGCTTTGCCATTAGCTGGTTGTGTCATCTTTGCTAAGTTATTTTATCTTTCTACATCTATTTCCTTATCTCTGAAATAGAGATAAAACCTACCTTACAGGGTATTCTAAAGAAAGTAAATGAGATGCTATTTTAATGAGATAATAAATGAGATGCAATTAGCACAGTGCCTAGAACACAACAGGTGTCAATAAATGACAGCTGTTACCATCAATGAAAATGCTGTAAAACTGGGTCATGACACCACCTGTAAGCAGGTCTCCTCTGGAAGGTTAACCGGCCTGTAAGACTCTGGAGGAAATCCTACAGGAGATGGTGGAACACACAAGGGGGCGGTTTTCTAGAGCACTTCTTAGGGGGGACTTCTGAAGTCAAGGTCTGTCCGCTTATTTCTATTATGTTGGATATTTTATTACTGCTGGCCTTTGTTTCAGAATGGATGCTCATGTGCTTTAATAATTATAGCTTAATGAAGCATTTACTAGGTACCAGACACTGTGCTAAGCCCTTCACATGCATTATCTCAATTATTTCCTACGTCAACATTATAAGCGAGATATGGCTGTTCTCATTTTAAAGATAAGAAAATTGAGGCTCAGAGAAATTAGGTATAAACCCAAAGTCACCGCTAGTTGACAGTGAATTTGGCTTCAAACCTAGTAATGTGGCCTCCCAGGCACTGCTAAAAATGGAGTCTGGAATGCCATAAACCCTCAGTTAATCCCTCTGGAGTTGAAGAAACCTAACTCGAAAAGCATCATAAAAGAAAAAGAATATATAACGTCAATTCACTCACCACTGAATAATAAACTCAAGGAATAAAACTCTAATCTTAATGCCTCCTTGGGGAATCACCTTCAATAAAAATGATCCTAAAATACTTCATGGAAAGTGAAAAAGCTACAGCTCTCTTTTACACACTTAGTCATTAGTGCCTTCAGAAGATTGTGTCCTGAGGGAACAGAAGAATCCACCTGTTGGCTTGGGGAAAGGATTACAGCCACTGGCCTGAATGAAATTATTAATCATCCCTGTGGCTTTCACAATGACAACAGCCAACACGAAGTTTTCTCTGGGAAGGCGTTAGAGGACACGGTCTTTCTAGGGTGATCTTTCTTACCACGGGTGCCGAGCTGCCTGCTCACACGTGTATCTTTTATTTGGATCTTTCTCCATCAGATTCCGAATGAAGTCTTTTGCTGTTCAAAAAGAAAGCAGGAGAGAAGAGTCAGTCTATGGCTTGAGATATAACAATATGACACCACCAGGTCTTTGAGAGTGTCACGGGCAGCACGAAAATTATAAGACTAGCCCTCCATGGACCCTAGGGCACCTTGGACACAAAGGCAGGTGGTACCAGCATTTGGTGAAAAGGCAAGCCAAGGTTTGGGACTCTGAGTGGTGACCTGCAAATGAAGAGGTAGCCAAGCCAGGCCTGGGACCCTGACTACCCAACTCAAAGTCTTTTCCCTCTTGAAGCTAGTGATATCTGGTTCAGAGAAGAGGTGAAACATCTTTGTCATCACGTGCCTCTCATTCTGCTCACTGCTACCCTGGGGAGCTGTTGTGTTGATGCCCTCTCCATATTTCAGACATCACTGATTGAACGAAATCCCCTGAATACCTATGAAGCCGGCCAGGTGCTGTGGATACACAGCCCTCAAGAAACCCCACCTGCAGCCCCCTTAGCCGATTACAAAGAGCAGGAATTGTGAGGCAATGAGACGTGCCCTGGTGGGGAAGTGGAGAGTGCCTGGAGGCCCAGGATGGAGTATGACCCAGAAGCAGGACACCAAGAACATGATGGACTGGGTCACAGAACCAGAAGATGGCACCCATGTGCCAGGCCGGAAATCTGTATCATCGGAGGGCCTGGCAGCTCACTGCCCCAGGACTGGGCTCCTGGGGAAGGCTGTGCCCTTCCTAGCTCAGAAATTAAATATTCCCCATGTGGCAATTTCCTGTAAGCCTTGGAGAACGGTACTCCAGTCCCAGGTTTTGGAAGATTGAGGAAGAAAGCAGGGTGTTTCCAGTCAGGAGGAATTAACACAAATAACAAATGCCCTATTTGAATAACTCATCAGGGAGTACAGAGCTCTGTTCCACTTATTTCATTTGGTCCTTATACTGCCCTCTGTGGAAGGGAGGAGTATTACTACCATCCTCATCTTGTCAGTGAGCAGACAAGCTTGAGAGACGTCATTTACATGGGTCTGGCTTTTGATCTTTATTCCTGAGGAGGAAATGGGAACACTTCGTTGTGGCATGGTAACCAGGATGTGGGCTCTGGAGTGAGGGCTCAGGTTCAAATCCCAGCTCTGCCACCTACCAGCTGTGGGGCCTCAGTTTCCTCATCTGCCAAATGGGAACAGTAGTAACACCCATCTGATATAGGTTGTCCTGAGGACTGAGTGACTTAGCACATGTGCTCAGCACACGGAAGCACTCAATAAATGTTAGCTAATATTGCTTCACTCCCAGAGCACCCAAACCAGGGCACAACGACAAGTGATGAAAGACTGAGTCCCCATGCTGCGGCTTGGTGGCCCAGCCGTCCTCTGCTTTGCAACAAAGCCCTCTGCTTTGTAGCTCAGGAAGCTTCTCTGCAATCCTCAGGACCATTCTGAGCCCTCCGGGCCCGTTAGGGTCAGATGGTCTGCGTGTAAAGTCCCAGGGGCCGCCCATGGAGAGTGGAGAGACCTACCAGAGTCGGAGATGTCATCCCAGTACGGGGAGTCGAACTCATATTCCGCCTTAAGGATCTGTTCAAAGAGCTTGGAGTCATTTTCATCATAAAAAGGAGGGTAGCCACAGAGCCTGGAAGACAAGATGGTGAAGGATCTGAAATGGCTGCACATCCAGGGTGGTGGTCGGATGCTTTGCCTGGAAGGAAGAGCCATTTCCCTGGAGCTTAGAAAACTTGCACTGTGTGTCCTGCAGACACAACCTCAGCGAAGAACTCACACATTCTACGGACACAGAAATACATTTTTTTTTCTTTTTTTTTTTTTGTGAGGAACTTCAGCCCTGTGCTAACATCTGCCAATCCTCCTCTTTTTTTGCTGAGGAAGACTGGCCCTGGGCTAACATCCATGCCCATCTTCCTCCACTTTATATGGGACGCCACCACAGCATGGCTTGCCAAGTGGTGTGTTGGTGCGCGCCCGGGATCCGAACCGGCGAACCCCGGGCCGCCGCAACGGAGCGTGCGCACTTAACCGCTTGCGCCACCGGGCCGGCCGCCAGAAATACATTTTTGATTTAATAAATAGCAAAGAGGGTTCTCAGGAGATGATCGAAGGTAAATACATATATTTAAGTCTACCTTTTTGCACATTATCCACCAGAGTCCTGTACACCCTACAAACCTACCAGACAGCCTCTGCGTATGAATGTTGTTAATCTGGTTATTTGTGATATTGTCCCTAATAGATGATGAGTTGGTGGAAATAACAAAATATATGTTTAATGTACATTTCAGGGCCCTTCCAGATTCATTTTATTTAATAAATGATCAGAGGAAGAAAGGAAATTTTTCAAGCTTAAGTACCAAGCTGCCACAAGTCACCCTACACTGCACATCATCACCCTATCACGTCCAAAGAGGGTGTTTGGAAGGTTATAGTTTTGGCCATTAACATGCAATAAAGCACGGGCAGAATCTGGCACAAACGTCAATACTGCAATATCGTAACATGTCATTCATTTTTCCACCGAACCACTTCAAAGTTGACTTTTAAAGATCATATTAGGCTGTTGATGCAAGTAACGTGTAGCTCTGGAGGTAAAGACAATCATTTAACAAACACGGTAAGAACAGAAATTTTTATTAAATACTGAAAATACAATTAGTTCCATGAAATCATGGATTCTCACTCCAGTTCCGACGCGACTTTTACCATTAGTAGGCCACCGATACATTTTTCTGGACCCAAATGTCCTCATCTGAACATGAGGGCCAGACCAGAAAATTCCTAATATTCTTTTTGGATTTAAGATGCTGTGGCTCTGTGACTCCCTCTCCCAATTTGTTTGGTTGGCCACGAGACCCAGGGAAAGATCTAGTACATGCTGGAGGCCCACGTGGGGCTGGGGCAGCCCTGGTTGGGACTGGGCAGCTGGCAAGGGGTGTAATTGAGGCTGCAGCTGTTAGTGACCAACACAACAGAAGGCAGGGCTGGATTCTGGAAGGCCAGGCGCAAAGGTGGATGGCGCAGAACTTGGTTCTGGGCCCACGACAACCAGAGGGTGGCAGCTCCAGCGAGAGTTGTGCCCCCAAAGGAGCCCTGAATCTTCCCACATAGCCAAACTTTGCTCAAGACACAGCTACAGCCTAGAGGACAGTGTAATGAGAACAAATTAGCAGGAATCAGGCCTGCGAGGGATTAGGCTGTCGGCAAATAAGAAATTTAATAAAGGTTCGTAACACAGCTTTGGTACAGCCATTCTTCAGCTGCTCCTGCCGTGACACATGGTACCGCGGCCACGCTGCAGAGGGGAATGACTGATGACATTTTTTTTTTTTTTTTTTTTTTTTTTTTTTTTAAGATTTTATTTATTTTATTTTTTCCCCCCAAAACCCCAGCAGATAGTTGCATGTCATAGCTGCACATCCTTCTAGTTGCTGTATGTGGGACTCGGCCTCAGGATGGACGGAGAAGTGGTGCCTCGATGCGCACCCGGGATCCGAACCCGGGCCGCCAGCATTGCAGCGCGCGCACTTAACCACCAAGCCACGGGGCCGGCCCCAACTGATGACATTTTTAAAGGCTGAGACATTCTGTGGGCTGATAAGATTCAAAGTCATCTATCCCCACAAGGTTGTTTGAGGGGCTAAGTGCATGGAAAATTTCATTTTTAAAGATTTGCTGCTTTTGGCGAAATGAATGAAAGCCAGTGCTTCTGAAACCACTAAGCACATATTTCACTGCCCAAGGAAACCCCGGGGCCAGGAGATGGACGTGTAAATGCTTCCCATAACGAGGATTTGGGATAAATGAAATGTGCATGTTAGGAAAAGCAGACAGAGCAAAATGTCAGTTCGTTTTGGAAAATAACTAAATTTTAGGTATGTGAAGTTTTTGTTTATTAGCAGCTGAGTGTGTTTTACTTCCTAGTATGGCTTTCTTTTCAAGTAAAAAAAAAATCTTTCGGAATTATTCTTCTTGTGCCAATTTTCTTAATGTATATCCCAATTTCTTCTGGGTTTAGCTCTTTTCGAGGGAGTATAGAATACTGCGTTTATGTGGCTGTCCTGGGGACAGAAGACAAGGAAATGGATCTAGCTGGAAGACAGCAAATGAAAATTATGAAAGAGAATTTTAAAGTAAGGATTGTAAAAGAACAGAAGGGCAAAAGAAGTTGTAAAACTTTCATCAGATTTAGACATTTCACAGAGAGCTCCCTGGACAGGGAATTTCATTAGTAGGTTTGTGGGGAGGGTTCAAATAGGAGAAATAACAACTTTGGGCTGTTTATCTCCATATACAGAACGCTGACTTCCGTGGTCCTGAACCTGCCTATTTGCAGATATAAAGCCTGTGTTCTTATCTTACATATCAAACCGTTTAAATAATCTACAAATTATCTCACCATGGTTACTCAAAGACAATAAAGCCATTCCCAACTGTTCTAGGCCTAAAAGTTTGTGGTTCAGAATAACATCTCAACTTGCCAACCCAATGACCAGAGGTCACGCCCAATAGAGCCAACAGGCCTTCGAGGGGCTCCTCCATCGCCTCCATCCGGCCTCAGGATGATGGTCCAGGGAGAACACTCACACCTTCCAGTCTCTCCTGTTGCTATCTAGTTCGCCATCGCATCTACCTGTGGCACACTTACGCAAGTGTACTACTAGATTCTAGTTTCACCTTCACTGAGTGCTTATTTTGGGTCAAGAACTCCACTAAGTGCTTTGCTGTATTATCTTACTCAACCCTCACTCCCCCACGAGGTGGGTGTCCACGACACCTTCTGTCTGCCCTTTAGAGCCACTCTCTGCTCTGCTCTGTCCCTGGGGGGCTGACCTGTGTAGACAGCCGAATGAGGGTTGAACTCTCTGACATCCAGTAGGGGTTGGCCAATCAAGACCCCTGGGGAGATGGTGAAGGAAGGAGGATATCAGGGAAAGGGTATGTGTTGTCCTGGTCCCCTCTCAGCCAGCGCTCAGGCTGGTTATACCCTTGACTAAGGGCCACTGCTCTTCTCAAGGCAGCTGCCTCTACCAGACTCTCCCCCTGGGGTCTGGTAACCACTCCCTCCCTCCCCTCATCGCCTTGGGTTTAGGGGTGTTTACAGCTCAGCTGCTATAAGCTCAAGGTCACGATGCTGTTCCTTGTGGTTCCCTCACACCATACCTTTGTATACAGTCCCTCGTACAATTCTCATTTTAAAGGCAAACTGATTTCAATTCTCTTGGATAAATACCCAGAAGTGGGATTGCTGGATCACATGGTAGTTCTATTTTTAATTTTTTGAGGAACCTCCACACTGTTATTCACAGTGGCTGCACCGATTTACATTCCCACCCAGTGTGCAAGGGTTCCAATTTCTCCACATCCTCGCCAACACTTGCTGTCTTCTGTTTCTTTGATTTCTCCACAGAAGACATACAGATGGCCAACATGAAAAGGTGCTCAATAGCACTACTCATCAGGGAAATGCAAGTCAAAACCACAATGAGACATCACCTCACACCTGTCAGGATGGTTATCATCGGGCAGTGACTTTTAAAATGTACATCCACATGGACCTTATGGTACTTCATGGTCATCTTTTTGAACCAGCCAACATACACGTATTTACTTAGTGTATGTTGTATGTAACATACATAAGTGTATGTTACTTATGTATACGTAGCATTCATTTATTCATCAAATGTTTATTTTGCGCCCACTATATAGCAGGTACTGAGTCTGATACTGGACATATGATGATAAACAAGAACCCCTTCAAGAGCTCAATCCAGTGGAAGAGAGAGACATGTTAATGGATAATAACAACACAGGCAGTAAGAGACATACGCAGAGGCCATTATGAGTCTACAGAGCATGGACATTGAACCCAAATAGTTTTGGGGGGAGTAGAAGTAGCAGATGCCGATGCTTTGTCTCAAAGGGTGACCAGGAGATGGATAGGAGAAACAGAGGAGGCCACAGGCGGGAGTGGCTAACCAGGAATAAGACATGGAGGCATCAAAGAGCACAGATTACTGAAGAATCTCAGAGTAGTTTGCTGCTGCTACAGTGTAACATATGAGTCAGTGAGGCCTGCGAGATGAGGCTGGTGAAACGGATGGCGGTGCGCCCATGGAGGGCCGTGTTCTCACACTAAGGTGGGTGGTCTCTCCTGAGGGTAAGAGGAAGCCCCCGAAAGGTGTAGACAGAGAAGCCATCTGGGCAACTGGCTTTGCAGTTGTGAGGAGGGTGGATTTGAGGCAGGAAGACAAGTTAGCAGCTGCACTCAGCACAGGAAGGATAGGAGGGTGCAGCTGGTGGTAGGTGGATCGGGGAACAGAACAATTCCAAAAGGGGTTCAAAGAGAGCCCGGGAGGATCTGGTGTCTCCCAGCGTGGTGAGTGAAGGCCAGGATGACTCCCAGGCCTCCAGCCAGAAAGAATGGAGGTGCTGTCAACCGTGGTAATCAGCTCTCGTAATCACACTGGTTTGGACGGAAGGCTAAGAGATGGCTGGGAAGAGAGGCGAGCTGATGGCGTGGGTGTGGAGAGAGAAGCAGAGATGCCAGGAGGGGAAGACCAGCTCAGGGGTGAGGCTGCGAGAGGAGCCAGTGCCTGGGGCTGTATCAGTGTTGGGGGCTTC